GGCCGAGAGGGGACACCCTTGGCGTATTCCTCTCAGAACACTAAAAGTTTCAGATAACCAACCATTTACAATTACAGAACTTGAAATATTTGTGTATAAAATTGTTACCCACTTCTGGAAAACAGGTCCAAAATTAAATTTACTCAGACATTTTTTGATAAAAGTTACATCAATTACATCAAAGGCTTTAGAAAAATCTACCATCATAAGAGCACCGTTTTTACCGTTCCTTGTCATGTATTCGATGATATCTTTAGTAAGTCTTACATTACAAGCCGCCAGACGACCTCTTATGTAACCCGACTGGTTTTCATGAATAATTTTACCAATTACTTTTTGAAAACGTTTTGCAAGCACTGTTGCAATTATTTTATAATCACTATTCAGCAATGTGATCGGTCTCCAATTCTTCAGCTCCCGATGATCCCCTTTCTTGTATATCAAAGTAATTATTCCTTTCCTTTGAGTATCCGACATTTTCTCATTAGCATAACACTCGTTAAGAGCGGCAACTAAAATATCACAGATCTCATTCCAGAACACCTGATAGAATTCCGCGGTTATTCCGTCAGAACCTGGAGTTTTGTTTTTCTTCATTGCGAATACAGCTTGTTTACATTCTCTGTGTGTTAATAAACCTTCACATATTTTATTTTCATCGTCAGAGAGAGATGAAATATTTTGAGAAAAAATATAATCTTCTGCATTTTTAACATCAATATCTTCTTTAGTATACAACTTACTATAAAAATCAACGGTTTCTTTCAATATTTCGTCTTGTTTTTCAATAATTCTTTTCCCATTTCCTGTCTTCAACTGATTTATGTTTTTTCTGCTAGCATTTCTCTTTTCTAAGCTAAGAAAATATTTAGTACTTCTTTCTCCCTCTTCCATCCATCTTGCCTTAGCTCTGATACCAGCTCCTTTAGATTCTACTTTATATATATTTTCCAGCTCTTCTTTTATGACCCTATATTCGTTTTCATTATCATTATTTCCACTTTGGTTATCAATACATTTTTGTAATACATTAAGCTTCATTTCTAAGAACCCTTTTCTATTTTTTTTGATCTGCAACTTTATGTTTACAATATTTTTGTGTAAATTCACGTATCTTTATTTTCAAAAGTTCCCATTTCTGTAGGGGACTCATATTTTGAGAATTCATTGAACTAATAACATCACAAATATTTTTATGATAACAGTCATCAGATCAATTATGATCTAGAGAATATTTAAGATGTCTCATTTTATCCGTAATGTCACATCATACTTCTGGACATATGTTACTGTCTCCCATTATTTCGATGTTAGCCACGCAGCAGTCCTGATTGGATCAGTCAAAACATATTGTTCACCTTAACATAGCGGTACTGTATGAACTCCATTTTCAACCTCAAAATAATACACGAACTATCGAAATTACTAGTACCTATTTCAGGTGTCAAGACATGTACATCATTACAAATTAAAGGTGGATATGTTAAACGTTATCATCGTGACTACGATATTAATACCATTTTAAACAAATTGTTTAATCTTGAATATACATTTAGTTTTTTTTTTAATTTTATGTTACCTCTTCAGGGGGACTTTATTGTTCAATTTCAAAATACATATATATTATTTACAAAACAAATAAAATGAAACAGATGAATTATATACAAGATCAACATAATTTCTTAAAATGATTATTTTAACATTTCTAATACTTTCTTAACTTCTTCATTATCGAAGTATCTTACATTTTCTTTGTATTTCAAATAACATTTTAATGATGAAATAAAATTATTTATTAACCTCTTTGGATTGGTTGGAACTTCCCCAAAGTTCCGCTTTACGTAGTTTTTGTAAGTTTACCAGTTGAGCATAATTTATCAAACAATTAAATTATAGTAACTTTTCGCTTCAGTACATTCAACGTTTATAACATCTAAAGTTGTTTCAATGTACATTGTTTCATTGAGACTTGAAGCTTTGTTTAAACGTAATTTTGTGACTAATATTTTGGGAATGCTTTTTTAATTTTCACATTTTTAATAAAAACAACAGATTTTTTTAACATCAAAATGGTTATTGAATAGTGAGTTATCTGTCCATGTACGTCGATTTATAACATGTTTGATTTAAAAAATTCCTTCTTTTATCCACGACGGGAAATACAGAGGTTTATTATCAATTACAATATTACTATTATTCCAAAGTATTTCATTGGGAATATCTTTTACTTCATATTCATTTACATATCGAATTTCTGACCATGTGCAAAGCGAATCCATATAAAACATTGGTAAATTTCTTTTATTTAAATATCATTTTCATGTGTTTAATATGACAATTATACTGTGAACGTAACGGCATCCCGCCAACTCTTTCAGTCCAAAATGAAAATAATGTCTTCCACATTGCATCATCTGCATTAAAAAACTTATATACCCAAGATAATCTAAGTGAATTAGCTTTCAAAATCAAATCAACCATACCAACCCCCCCCCCCCCTTATCTTTCTGACTTGATACAAACATTCCGTTTTACTTTTCACGTTTGCAAGCACTACTTTAAACAAACAGAACTTTGGTATTTCCAGCCCATTTTTCCTGATTATGGTGTCATATGAAAGAACAGAAACTTAACTTTCTAGAAATTTGATTTTCCCTTTGAAATTCAGATACCGTCCGCCAAATGACTTTTTGGTTTCCTCTCTTCAAATTCATTTTAATGTTTCATTTATCAATTAAAATTATGATTAAGTTATGATAAAACATCGATAATTCTCGGTTTCGTTTTTTCTGGGACGCACTGTACATCATCTTATACAAATTGTTGAATCTCTTTTAAAATATCTTCACTGTTCACAATTCTGTTACCATCTTTCTCTATATAATGTAACTCTTTCTTTTTCCATCTTTGTTTCTCAAGCTGTACAAAAATACTTAGTAAATTTTTACCCTGTTCTAGCCATTTTTCTCTTGATCTGACATAAAAGTGTGGTACGGTATGTCACTGAAACAGCTCCCGTAGGACTTTTGTGCCAAAATTGATGCATTTTTGGATTCATTGGGGTCCAAGCTATCAAAAATTGATGGGGTTCAAATTTTCACGAAGACACCAAATTTCCCTATTGCGCTTTATATAAGCCATTTGGCGCCCAATATGGACCCACAGGAAGTGAAGGAGGGGTCTGAAAACTTGAACCCCATCATTTTTGGCCAATTGGGACCCTTTTGAAGCCAAAAACAACAAAAATTTATTATGGCAAAAAAAATCCTTCGGGATTACATACCATACCGCACTATAAGCTCCTTGATATTTTATAGGAAACCATTTGTATAGCTCTCGTTTTAAGTTATCTAGTTTTTCTTTATCAGTATCATTTAAATTTTTATCTTTTACTGAGCACAATTGTCTTAATTCCTTTTCCATGTTCACATAATACCGTTTCATTTTTCCTTGTTTTAATCTTGCGTAACTTATACTATATTCTTTTAATTTAAATTTACAAACTTCCCACTGTAGTTGTTTACTCATAGTACTTGTTTCAATCTTAATCTTCCGTATCAAGTCTTTAACATTTTGTCCATACACATTATCATCTAGCAAAAAATTATTTAACTTCCAATAACCTTTTCCCTTTTTCTCTTGGGATATTTTGATTTTCAAAGATATTGCATTGTGGTCACATTTTAAACATGGTCGAATATCTGTCGAAAAAACTGAACATTTAAATCTTTTGTTATTGACCAATAGTCCAGACGAGAGTATAGTTTTAATGACAACTGTCGCCAGGTAAACTGTTTCTTGTCTGGAAAAAAATTCCTCCATATATCTAAAAGCTTATTTCTTGTTTGGAATAATTTATAATACTTTTTGGATAAATATGCATGAGATATCCCGTAAGTATCTAGGGTTCTGTTCTGCACACAATTCCAGTCACCACCTGCAATCATAATACTACTATCTGGCCTATGAAGTTTTATCCATTGGTCAAGTGATTTATAGAATGTTTCCTTTACCAAACCTTTCGCTGGTGAATATAAATTTACACAAAAATATGTTTTCAAATTACATGAGAATTCCACAATTATCGCTCTTCCATCTCCTTGTAAATGAACATTGATTATATCAATTGGAAGACCACTGCGAATCAAGATTTCTACCCCTTTTGAGTGGTTGGTTTCGTGATCGAAAAAAAAATGCCCTGACCATTCACGATTTATACTATTTCCATTGTCACGCTTCAAAAAAGTTTCCTGTAGAAATACGATGTCACATTGTTGATGTTTCAACCACAGAAATATCTCATCTCTTTTCAATTTATTACGCAAACCCCTTACATTAAGGGATATCAAATGAATATTAGAATTGATCCTAGTTAATCAAGAACTTCTCAGCATTTTCTTCATATATCTCAGTTTCAACTCACTTCTTCTTTTTCGATTCCTTTCTTTTTCTCTTTGCTGCTTTCCTCTTCTCTCGTGCTGCCTTTGGCGGCGTTTCTGCTGAGAGCGTGGATTCCGAGCTTTCGTCGTCGCTATCGCGATCGCTTATCTCGGAGTTCAAAGCACTGTCGCTTGAGGAATTGCTGTTGTTCTTTGGTTTATGCTTTTCCTTTTCTTTCGTTGCGCTAGTCGTGACGTCATACTCTCCATCAGTGGCAGTGACATTTCTCTCGCCGGATACACGAGTCGACTCACCGTGACTACCCTTCGAATTGTTGGATGTGTGGCTTGATGATGGTGTTGTGCTAGTGGCCTTTGCGGCTGGGGGGGGATCTTTTAGATTCGTTTGCTTTCGAACTTTATCGCTATAATTATGATTCTTGTGTGAGACTATTGGTGTCTGAACGCTGATTCTCTCGATCCGTTGCCTGGTGATGAGTAGCATTCGGACAATTACCTTTCACATGCCCACTTTGCATACACATGCGACACTTTACAACATTGTATATACATTTAGTTGGTTGATATTGATCATTCAGCATAATGTTACTATCATAACAGATTGAGACTCTTCACATCCGACTTAGTGATCTCAGTGAACGTCCCTCTGCATCACGTAATCTTGCTCAGTTCATCTGCAAGATGCCTCATTTGAAGAACCTGACACTCCTTTGTGCACGCTGCATGAACGATGACTTCTACTCAACAGCTGCGTTGATAGCGTCATCTGCAAAGGTATTTATTAGAGCATATATGTTATAATCTAAGCAAATCACGACGCGTTTTGTTATACTGACGTGTACCCATTTCCATAGAACACGAACTGGGATGATGTTATTATTCAAATAAGGAAGCAGAATGGAAAATAAACATTTCATGAAGAAAGGGGCATATGAGCGAAAGTGGTATTGCACTCTGTGGCAATACAGAGCTACGTAAAATTAGATTTACAAAGTATCATTTCAATTATATGTAAGAATAATCTTGTTTTATGTTAATGAATTATGATGGCGACTGTCAAATTGAGACCCTTGACATCCAGTATTTATTTCCCATCACTTGGTGTGTCTTGCAAATGCAGGAGATAGCGAGATTACCAAATCATGTGTCCGGTAAATCCCCTCCTTTCTGACAACCTTCGAGCCGCCACGACACAATGTCGTCGACACCATAGTTGTCCCTGAAACGAAATCATAGTTTTCTTTAAAAGAAAAAGCGACCGTTCTGCCTCGTTCTATTTTTATTATATTTTTTCAAAAGATCATGATCCAACTCCTTCATCCAGGTCAATTATGATCTAGAGAATATTTACGTACATTTCATCCGTAATGTCACATTATCGCATTATCGTATCCGAACCGTATCAGGACAATTACCCCCTGGGCAATCACCCCCCGGAAAATTACCCCCGGAAAACTACCCCCCAAAGACAATTACCCCCTGGAAATTTACCCCCCGGAGAATTACCCCCCGAGGACAACTACCCCCCAAGGACAATTACCCCCCGGAAAATTACCACCCGGAGAATTACCCCCCGAGGACAATAACCCCCCGGAAAATTACCCCCCGGAGAATTACCCCCCAAGGACAACTACCCCCGAGGACAATTACCCCCCGAGGACAACTACCCCCGAGGACAATTACCACCCGAGGACAACTACCCCCCGAGGACAATTACCCCCCCCCCCCCCCCCCTCGAAACACCATTACCGCGGCCCGAGGACAATCACACCCAGGGAATTTGTAACACTGTGACGTATAATGCGAGCTCCTCTTCAAATTGCTATTTAGAGAAAATGTCATGAACTTTAATTTTCTTAGTTATTTATGACGGAATAGATTTGTTTCGTACAGGGGTTGTGTATAAATTATATTTATATTCGTAGCTCACATTCAAAGCCCTCGTACCCATCTGCCAAATCTTTTTGCTTGACGTACATGTATCCTCCTAGGAGGAGATTTCACCCACCCCTCTCGCTCTGTATCCATTCCACCTTTGTGAAGTATGACTTAATATGCCACGTGTATTGAATCAAATTCAATTGCCAGAAGACGCATGTATCAAATCGAATTCAATTGCCAGAAGACGCATGTATCAAATCAAAGTACGGAATTTACATTTCTGAGAAATTTAACAATACATTGCGCGCAGATGAGTACGCGTTAATACAGCTAGTCTCCCCTAAAATGGCCCAACAAAGAAATTAGGATGTAAGATATCATTATTTATGCATCCTCTGTAACTTTTCTAATCAGCTGATCGTATATTTGTCTTTGTATGTATAATAATCCATGATCTATTCCAAAATTAAGGTTCTCTTCATGTTTATAAATGTAATGTAATATATATATATATATATATATATATTTCTGTTGTCATGGTGAACTAAAATATGTTTTCTTGTACTGTAATTTATTTTGAAATAAAAATTGCCGTCAAGTTAAATATATGGTATGTACGGTGCTATATTAAAAGAAAATAAGTATCCGCACTTGGGTACATTCATCTCAATGATTTTGTAATTCCAGAGCAGCGTTTTTTTCAACTGGGGTGCCGCAAGAGAATGTTAGTTACATGACAAATTTTTTTTGGCAAACGTTGATTTTGTGAAAAACAAATATCAGAAACGGGTAGAGTATTTATTTTCATGAGAAAATAAAATGTAAACAAATAATAAAATGTCTTTCTTCCTCGCTCGCTGACAATATTTTGCGAATATATATCTTTTATTTCGACATTACATTGTTACCACACTCATCACAATTATAAACATGATGAATCAAGGCAACGAGATGCCCAAATATCCTCATATTCATGTATCAAGGTCATGACCGAATATTTCACTTTATATTAGTGTACATTCGGCGGTGAGGCGCCCGCATACCTTAAATCTGTGCTAGTGTGTTGATTACAACATTATGTTTTACCATTTTGAAAATGTCTTGTCCTTGTTTTTCTTGCTCGTTCACTAAATCAAGAAACAAATGTGCCCATACGTGTGTACATAGCACTTGACGAGTGCCAGAGTGATGCAAAATAAATAGTTTGTGAAGAATTTAAGATTGGGCGAAACTTTTCATTTCTTAAGAGGGCATCGTGTCGAACAAAAAGTTGAAATAACGCTGCACAAGAGAAATCCTTCGTAGAAAACAGCAACCACAGTGTTGTTGCATACATTATAGTTAAAGAAAAATGTGTAGTAAAGAGGAAGATCACGCGCAAGTATTTGAACGAATGTGGGTTCATGCACGGGATTTTATGGGCTCGTAGCCTTCACAGCATCTCTCAACGTGTCAGATCGTCTTTTGCTATTGAATCCTGATTGTCCCCGGGGGGGGGGAATTGTCCTCGGGGGCGGGTAATTGTCCTCGTGGGGTAATTCCTCAAGGGGTAGTTTTCCGGGGGGTAATTGTCCTCGGGGTAGTTGTCCTCGGGGGGTAATTGTCCTCGGGGGTAGTTGTCCTCGGGGGGTAATTTTCCGGGGGGTAATTATACTTGGGAGGTAATTTTCCTCGGGGGGTAATTCTCCGGGGGGTAATTTTCCGGGGGTAATATTTATGGGGGTAATTGTCCTTGGGGGGTAATTGTCCTCAGGGGGTAATTCTCCGGGGGGTAATTTTCCGGGGGGTAATTGTCCTTAGGGGGTTATTGTCCTCGGGTGGTAATTCTCCGGGGGTAATTCTCCGGGGGGTAATTGTCCTTGGGGGGTTAGTTTTCCGGGGGGTAACTTTCCGGGGGGTGATTGCCCAGGGGGTAATTGTCCTAGAACCATCCGAACAAATACCCCCTGGACAACTACCCCGCCCCCGGATAACACCCTCTTGGACATCTACCCCTAGGGTGACTCTAACCCCGAGACAACTATCACCTAGGAGAACACCATCCAGGAAAACTACCCCCGGACAACTACCATCCAGACAACTACCCCCAGGACATCCACCCTCTAGGACTACTACCCCCGGACCACCACCCCCATATTGCTCCGGTTGTCTCATTTTCGCTCGCTGGAACATTGCCAGCACAAACCACTGACTTCTACCTCCTGGACGGATCATCGCCCATTCCCATTCACTATACGTTACGTACTAAAAGGTTGTATTGTCTGACCGTTCATGAATATTCATGTTTTTGCTTACCTCGGCAAAATGCTTGCCTCTACTAAATGAAAAAATTACGGTGGGGGGGGGTGGATGTAATGGAAATAATGAACAAATCAGAACTGATCTATGATGATTCATGCTTCTTATCATTCGTGTGCTTGAGTTATAACCTTACAATCGCGTGGTAAATTGAGTCCAAAGTTCGACTTGTTGTACATGTGTTATATAGGCAATGGCGAACTTGCGACCCATTTTGATGAAATTACGGTGGGTGAAATTTCAAAATTCAATGAGACATGAGGGTTCCAATGAAAGAGCTAGTGATAACGTATGTCGGGGTGGATGTACTTTTCGTTTAAACAAAAAAAAAATGAATTTTTAACGATTTTTTTTTGTAAATGTCCATGGGCTAACATGTTAGGCTGCTGACTCTGACGATAGGGGGCGTTGTCAAATGAAACTAAACGGAGCTATATGCAGACAACTATCCCCTAGGATAATTTCCTAGAGGATGGTTGTCGTAGGGGGTGGTTGTCCGAGAATAGTTGTCCGGGGGTACTTGTCCGAGGGGTTTTCCTAAAGGGTGGCTGCCCTAAGGGGTTAGTTGTCCTAGTGAGTAGGTGTCCTATAGGGTGGTTATCCTAGGGGTGGTTATCATGAGGGTGGTTGTCCAGGGGGTAGGTGTCCTAGAACCCACATTATACACTGTCGCTCTTAAAGTTGAAATATTTTTGTGTCCATGCCTTGAGCCCTAATGCATGGCCGTCCAGAGGATTTTTTTTATGTTGGGGACCGGGGTAAAATGCAATAAATTATTGAAAATGTATTGCATTTTCTTTGTTGTTTTTTATTTACGGAAACTGCCCCCTACCCTCCCGATAAACAAAATCACGTGAAAATCACGTCAATATCAAGGTATCGACTTGAGGAGAGTTACGTTCTTCAAACACCGGACATTTACGTAAATGTGTTAATACGTTTATTGCATTAGGTAACTTGAAACACACGTTCACTAAAGCACGCAATTGTCACTGCAATATCACCATTATAATAACGTGATTATCCCTACCTTGGAGACCATGGTTTGTAAACCTAATACTCCCGTGTTTGTTTGGTTATGAAATTACATCTTCATAAACGAAATTATCGCGTCACAGAAACACGTGAAGCGTTAGTGATAGTTTTAGTCAAAATATCTGCGTGAAATTCTCGTGAATATTACGAGGCTGACTTGAGATGAATCATGTTCTTCATTCACGTGAAATTTACGTCGAAGAGGAAGTATGTTACTGTAACCCGCGTTCAACCCAATAATTACGCAAATGTTACACAATAAATGAACCAAAATAATGACGTTCTCATCCCGTTTCTGAACATCGTGTCTTGGGTCCAAGCGCGCCGGAAGCAGTTTGGGATAAGAGGGGGTTGGGTGGGGGTGGGGGGTGCAAACATCCCAGAAGAGAAAGCTAGTTGCAACTGGTCCAGTTGATGAACCATTTAATGCCATCTGGTAACCCTGGAAATTGAAATGGGCTAAATGATCCAGTTGATCCAGGCCAGTTATAATTCAACTGGTCTAGCTGAGCCATTAGAACCATTTGGTAAAACTTCCAACCAGTTGAACAGCAACAATACTTCAATACTGGTACGTCTGTATTTCCAATGTAAGGGCATTGGTAATAAGTAGACTTACATAATTGAATTAATCGAAAAAAATTCGTATACTTGTACTTTATTGAAATTATTTTAGTTCACAGTTAATGTTTCCCTTATTCATGTTTAACTATTTATACGAAGTAGCGAAATGTCCTAATAACTGGTAATTTATATTTGTAGTATTTTCGAAATGAATTGCATATAACTAAATCATCAGTAATTAAGAAATATGCTGTAAATTCAGATAAATTGTTTAAAAAACATAGATCTGCACGCACCCCATATTCAATATGCAAATGAATTGGTGTCAGCTGGGTCAACTCGAAATATGCCAACGCTCAGTCATCAACTGGTGCAACTGGAAATATGCACACTCCAGTTATCAACTGGTGCAATGAAAATATGCCAACAGTCAGTTATCAACTGGTGAAAATAGAAATATGCCAACAGTCACGGGATTATCACCACGGAACTTAAATGGTAACTGTGAAACCATCAAGACACCCAAGAATAACTCATGTTCACACATGGAAAACACGGAATACCCAGCTTATATTAATAATCCGTTTGAGTCACGCGATCATCACCGCGGAACTGCTGGCAACTTTGACTACGATTTAAATAGGTGTTTTAAGACACCTTATAATGACTATTTGTTCACACCTAAAAGTCACGTATGCCCTGCTTAGATTAATATTCCGTTTGAGTCACGAGATCACCACCGCGGAAGTGCTGGCAACTTTGACTACCATTTAAATAGGTGTTTTAAGACACATAATAATTACTAATTTTTCACACCTAAATATCACGGATTCACAGCTTAGATTAGTAATCAGTTTTAACTACGTGATCATCACCAAGAAATTTATGGTATCTTTGAAACCATTTAAATAGGTGTTTTAAGACACCTAATAATGACTAATTTTTCACACCTAAAAGTCACGTATGCCCTGCTTAGATCAATAATCCGTTTGAGTCACGAGATCATCACCGCGGAACTTATGGCAACTTTGACTACCATTTAAAAAGGTGTTTTAAAACACTTAATAATTACTAATTTTCACACCTACATATCACGTTTTCACAGCTTAGATTAGTAATCAGCTTGAGCCACGTGATCATAACCAAGAAATTTAGGGTAACTTTGAAACCTTTTAAAGAGGTGTGTAAGACACCTCAGAATTACTAGTTGAATATAACCAGAGATTCACGGACAGAACAATAAGACGATTAGCCGGTGTACGTAACGTGATTATTACCATCAACCTTGGATAACCTGTGAAACCAATCAATAAAGGTGCTTACAAGACCAAATAATTACGTATTTATCGCCACCATCGGTTAACTGACAAAAAACTCGTTGCTTGGTCAAGTGGTTATTTGGTCATAAACACTTGATTTACAGAGGTAAGTGGAATCACGTTACTCCAGTCGCGTGATAAACTGGTGGTTTTTAGGTTAGATGAAAACGTGAACAGAAGTACCTTTTTTGTTTAAATGAAGGCACGTGTCGATAACGTTTAAATCTAGCTCAAAAGGCACTATACTTTAAAATCACTTAAAATACACTCCCAAAAGAGGTTACTTTTTGGTGTTCTGTTTATTGGGCTAGCCCCCGCTGCGTACAGTCATGGTCCAGTGATAAAGCAATGACCTCGTAACTGTGAGGCCCCAGGATCAAAACCGTGGCGATGTGCTATATTAGTGCCCTTTTGTGGGGCATTAATCGTCATTACAGTCATTTATGACTTAAGGGCGTAGGTCCCCTAGTTGAAAAGCATAGTAGCATACACATGCTTTAGCATTCACGCAAAACACACATTGGCAAATTATTATTCAATAAAATCTAAGAATGTATACTTTTATCTAGATCTATTATTTTTAAATTATTTTTAAAATAATTCCATAAATTAGGGTAAAACAAAAAAATATTCCAACTTTATGAGCGACAGTGTACTTCTGAACGTATTTTGCTGTCACCTATTTGCTGTAAGTCATGCCACAGTCCTAATTCGATCAGTCAGAACATATTGTTCACCTTAACATAGCAGCAATGTATGAACACCATTTTCAATCTCAAAATAATACAGGAACTATCCAAATTAGTGTTTCGTTCAAATATCAAGACTTGTATATCATTACCAAAAAAAAGGTGAAGTGTTAAGACATTTTTATCGTGGTAAGGATATAAATATAATTTTAAACAAATTGTTTAATCGTGAATATACTTTTAGTTGGTTATTATTAATTAATCATTCGACATAATGTTACTATCATAACAGATTGAGACTCTTGTCATCAGGCTCCACAATCTCAGTGATCGTCCTTCTGAATCTCGCGGTCTTGCTGAGTTCATCTGCAAGATGCCTCATCTGAAGAACCTGACACTCACTAGTCGAGGTAGCCTAAACGATGACTTCTACTCAAAATCTTCGTCGCTAGCGTCATCTGCAAAGGTATTTATTAGTGTGCTCATTTCTATAGTACACGAAACGGAATGATGTTACTCCCCACATTAGTACACCGTTAGGCCAAAAAAAAAATCATTTGGTTGTCCTCGACCACCCGCTCGTCATTCTCGGGCCTCTCGTATTCATTTTTTTTCTTTTTTTAATATTTTTTTTTTTTTTTGGGGGGGGAGCAATCTTAAATTCCAACATACCATTTTATGCATTTGCAAGGATCAAAATGCGTCCTTTTGCCAGTTTGGTCTTTTCAGCACTTCAGCAATTAGGTATTTATTTAACTTGCCATTCTTATTTTTCTATGTCAAAATGCCGTTCATTCAAATCAGGTTCTGAGCATTCATAAACTCATTTTAAAGCCCATCTGTACTATTGTACAGGAGGGATTAGACCACCCTGCCAGGTCACTGGACAGGTAGTTATCTCATCAAATTAACTCTCGGTTAACATAAGATAAAGAGGATTATGGGGGACCAATTAATGGTTACCGATTAGGCAGCGTTTGCTACATAGAGGGCGCAAGTAGCTATAAGTAGTAGAATGGAGATTTAAAAGGTGCTGTATTTCAAAGCCAAAAATACTTTCTGTGTTGGTCTTGATATTCATCCTACATTAGACAAGTCTTTTACCACATTAAAGTGTTTTATTGACTTTGTTTGTTTAGATGCTTGACGATGGATAAACAAATTATTATGTTTTTATTTTTTTAAATGGGGAAAAAAATAAAAAAAGACACACAAAAAACGAAGTTAAAAAAAATATTTTAAAAAAAATCCGCCCGCCCGCCCCTACTCCAGAAGAGCAATCGAGGACAACCAAATGACTTTTGGGGGCCTTAAGATGAAGCAGGTATAATAGAAAAAGCTAAAGTTTTTTAAGTAAGGGGCAAATGAGCATAAGTGGATGGGAATGCGCTCTATTTACAGAAAAATATTATAAAGATTGACAGGAAATAATATCTACCAACATTTTTTATTCACACGTGGCAATACAATTACAAAGCTACGTGAAATTAGTTCTACAAAGTACTATTTCAATAAAAGAATAATATTGCTTTTTTTTAAATGAATGATGATGGCAACTGTAAAATTGAAACCCTTGACATCCGGTATTTGAACCCCCCCCCCCCCCCCCCACTCTGTGTGTCGTAAAAATGCGGGAGAGATGGCGAGATTACCGAATCATATGTCCGGGAAAACATCATCTTTCTAGCAATCTTTGAGCCGCCACTATTCGATTTCGTCGGTAACATGATCAGGGTGTTCAAGTTGTCCCGGGAACAAAATCACCGTTTTCTCTCAAAGAAAAGCAACTGTTCTGCCATTTTGTTTTATTATATTTTTTTCTGTAAAACTTTAGATCATGATCTGACTCCTTCATTCAGGTAAATTATGATCTGGAGAATATTCACGATGTCTCATATTACCCGTAATGTCACATTATACTTCTAACTAAAACATATTCTACTGTCCCCTATTTGCTGTTAGTCATACCACAGTCCTAATGCGATCAGTCAAAACATATTGTTCATCTTAACAAAGCAGCAATGTATCACCATTTTCAATCTCAAAATGATACAGGAATTACTATAGAAATTAGTGCTCATTTTCAGTGTCAAGCCTTGTTCATCATTACAAAATAAAGGCGGATGTGTTGAGATGTTTTCATCGTGGCAAAGATATTAGTACAATTTTAAACAAATTTGTTAATATTGAAAATACTTTAAGTTGGTTTGTATCAATTTATCATTCAATATAATGTTATTATCATAACAGATTGAGACACTTGACTTCCAGCTTGATGATTTCAGTGAACGTCCCACTGCATCCCGTGATCTCGCTCAGTTCTTCTGCAAGATGCCTTATCTGAAAAACCTTACACTCAGTTGTGGAGACTGCATGAACGATACCTTCTACTCAACATCACCGCCGATGGCATTGTCTGCAAAGGTACTGATATAGTCATTTATACAACTCACTCCCAGATCCTAATCAAATGATTGGTCATGCGCGGTCACGTGTGATTCAATTACTGAGCCTATTGCACTCGCAACATGAAAAGGAGTGCAATATTTTTCAGTACTATTTAACTCATTTTCAGAGCACGCAGCCTCAACTCGAGTGCGGATAGATCGTATATTGAACTCATGCGCATGCATCCTTTGTATAATATCTATAATATATAAGTAAATCAAACCATGATTTAAGTTGTACCTGAGTTGCACTTATGCCTTTTTTTTAATTCAAAGTAACTTGATGAGTTTACTTTTCAAACTTGGAAGGGACAAATGGGCTCTTTTCATGAAACGAAAACAGACAAAATCTATAAGATGGATAGCAAAAAATACCATATTGTTCATTCCATAGGGTAGCACGGAAGGCTATGGACATGCTGATAGAAGGATTGCTATTTGAATTGTGACTAAAGTAAGATAAAATGCAATCTTTCCCTTCCCATTGCCATCTTACTTGTTGGGGAATTTTGGAGTATGTCATCTGAGAAATTTAATGACATTTGTATGTTTTTTTTTAATACTGCTTGACACACATTTTCGGGCAAGTGCATCCAGCTAGATTATCTTTAATCCGCCACGGGATAACCAAGTCTTGTTGATTCGAATTTATTCCATTTCATATATCAATTGTCTTCCAATCATCTTTATTAATTAGTTTTTTTTACTTTATGGGCATTTATTGAATGTTTAATAGTTCATTCATTTTCCGATTGTTACTTCAATTTTATCCTTAGTACAGGTGATATAATGCACTTTGGTGTTTTAATGATTTGTATTCATATAAAACATATAGAATATGCATTAAATATTCGACAAGACCATGGTGGTAAGACCAAAAAGAGGTGTTCTACCCATAAAAATGCCTTGTTTCTCTTTTAATTTTCTTCGATGGGGGAACATTCTCATATTATAGCAGAAAATTTGTCTGGCATGGGTCATTCAGTGCTCTGTGGCATTCCTGCATTTAGTTAACACTGGTTTCAAGTGGTACCTCGTTCGTTTGATCAAATGCATTTTTAGGGGGCCCCTTTGGGGGCGTCTGGCGGGCCCTTAGCAGCAGAGATTTTGTCTGGCATGGGCCATTCAGTGCTCTGTGGCATTCATGCATTTAGTTAACACTGGTTTCAAGTGGTACCTCGTTCGTTTGATCAAATGCATTTTTAGAGGGCCCCCTTAGCAGCAGAAATTTTGTCTGGCATGGGCCATTCAGTGCTCTGTGGCATTCATGCATTTAGTTAACACTGGTTTCAAGTGGTACCTCGTTCGTTTGATCAAATGCATTTTTAGAGGGCCCCCTTAGCAGCAGAAATTTTGTCTGGCATGGGCCATTCAGTGCTCTGTGGCATTCATGCATTTAGTTAACACTGGTTTCAAGTGGTACCTCGTTCGTTTGATCAAATGCATTTTTAGAGGGCCCCCTTAGCAGCAGAAATTTTGTCTGGCATGGGCCATTCAGTGCTCTGTGGCATTCATGCATTTAGTTAACACTGGTTTCAAGTGGTACCTCGTCCGTTTGATCAAAGTGCTCCGGGCTGCCGGCTACGTTGTATGGACAATTAATAGAATAAATACTGATGGTATCTTAAGGTTGCAAAAGAAAGCCATGAGACTTTGTTGTGGCTCTGGGTATTTTGATCACACTGACCCATTATTTTTCAGATTAAGAAGTTTGAAAATCACCGAAATTCATTTTCTGCAAATTGCAGTGTTCATGTACCGACTTAATGAAAAAGAACTGTCTTTTTGTAACAATTTTATTCTAAATAGAGACATACATGACTACCCAACCAGACATTTTTTCTGATTTCCATTTGTTTACGCCAAGAAGTACCTTAGCCCACAGATCGATTAGATATGCAGGCCCCGACATTCGGAACGTATTGCCACCTGATATACAAACTTATAATAGCATTTGTGTTATTTAAAAAGAAACTGTAGGAACTTTTTCTCTGCTAATATGTTTGTCATGTTGTGATGTACACTATAATAGTGCTATTTTTGTCAATAAGAGGTATGTATTTCCTTGATTTACTTGTTATTTAAATACGTTAAGGGGCATGATTTTGATTTAAACATTTATTTTGTATTTTGTTTTTATTTTTATAACTACAGAATGTCTTACTTTATGCCGTGCTCTATCTCAACCTAATAATTACCAGCTATGTTATCTTAGAGACGTTGCGCTTCAAAAAAATTGTTTATGCACTGTTCCTACTATGTTTTATATCTCGATGTTACCCACTGAATTTTATTATCTGTAAACAATTATTTTACATGGTGAATATATAAAACAAACAAACATGGCCACTTTGCCCGTCTTCCTCACGATAGGCCTATTCATTATAACACCTAATATTACTTCATACGAACAATTTCATGGTGGTATATTAGTACCGGTAGACATGTTTATTATGAAATATGTGTTAATCCTGCAGTATGATGTCATGGTGCATACTTAAACGACCCACTGTACGTCGCATTTCAAGTAATATTAGTGATTCGTATTATATAAATCGCCATATGTTTGAAATGTACTAATCTTAATACTGATTTTTTTTTCTTTAAACAAAAATCATTTTTAATGTTACTATTTTAGATCCTAATACATTTATGTCAGTTACATTATATTTGATTATTGCATATCAAAGGCATTAAACAAACATGAAGTTCTGATCAAGGCATTTGACTGACTTGAAATGATTTAGTAGGTGTTTAGTCTAAACCATTGCTAAATTAGCCTGGTCTTCGTTCATTGAAGCTACATGCTTCACTTTTTTATCATATTTATGTTGCAAAATAATGAATGATGTACAATTACAATGTATAAGAGCAAAGAAATTAAGGCTTACTATGTATTATTTTATCATGCAATTTATACTTGCAGTTACATAAGCCTTTAAAATTCTCGCATTTTCTCGGATCATGTCATATTTAAAACCCTTGTTTATGTTTTACAATACCCCTGAGGCTAGCATGATCTATTTTCATGATTTTGTCGCTTTTTTCATGAAACTTAAAGACGCAATCATATATCTACTAACAATCGTACCTAATATATTTGTCATTGCACTTGCTCTTTCTTCACTGGAGGGTGAGAGTGGTAGCACGGGCTTGGCCACCCTGACTGAGCTGACAGTGGATAATATGACACTACGAGGATGGCGGGATTGTGGTTCGATGTTTGACAATGTGAAGAAGGTCACGATAAGGGTACGGAGCACGATCACATATGACGTCATCCGGAGGATCCATCTCCCAGGAGCAACAGAACTCACCATTCTAAAAGAGGTGTATGGAGATCGACATTCTGGTTTCATAAAGGAGCCCCCTTTAATACCCAATGCCCTTCTGAATATCTCCCCTCAGCTAGTCAAGGTGACATTTAGCGATCTTGCCATTGGTAACATTTACATGGAACGAATCTTACTAGCTTTCAGAATACCTCACAACCTCAAACATCTGAAGACTATCAGGTAAGACAAAGTGTGGTTTTTTTCAAAGAGCACTTTGACATTTTTTCTTTTTAATTCTCCCCTTCCCATCTAGAAATGGAAGAAAATGTTTATGTTTCTTTGAATTGAATAGATTGTGTTTCTCCCTTTCTCTATCTCTCTCTCTCTCTCTCAGTGTTTGACTTGATATGATTAGAATCGATTTGAACTTAAAACAGATAACAAATCATAAATAACAACATGAGTAGGCCTAAATACTAAGTATGAATAGCTCTGCTCATCTGTACCATATGCATGACAGCTGCACGTTTTATTAATTGAGGGGTCTACATGATAAAATAAATAAGAGAAAAAGTTACATCATTATTACCAGTTATATACCAAACATTATTGTTAACTCCGATGACATGCCCCCATCCCCAATCACTTAAAGGTATTACAAAGTTTTGGGAAATTTTGAAAAATGGGTGGATAGTGATTCTTTACAATTTGATATATTTGGATGCCTCTGGGGATGAATTAAAAGGACTAGAAATTTTAGCCCCTAAAACACTTCTGCTTTCGAGAAAAATTGAATATAAAGATTTACCGGTGCTCCCGGTAAATTTTGAAAAATTTCAAATAGCTCCTACGGCCGTACAATGGTAGCTTCGACCATGAAAATCTCAGAATATGTAGTTGTGGTATATAATTTCCGAACGGGAATAGCTAATCGGTCGATTTTAGTCAAGAAACATTGTTTTACAGCTTAATGAATATTTGACCTTGAGAGGGAGCTATACAACATAAAGTGTTTATTATTTACAATTTCATAACTTTAGGGTCGATTTCGACCGCGACAACGATCAGTGAATATTGTAGGATCGCATATGCTTCCAATATGTTCATTTGAACCAAATTCACGACCCCATACCAAAACTTTGTATTACCTTTAAAGTCGTTAATACCGTGTACCGTCGATCTTGATACTGGTAGATTCATAAGATGCCGGACAGATGAGAGAGTGGATGATGTCATCATTGCTTGTAATGAAGATCAGGTCATTAAGGTGGAGGTGCAGCATGGCGAACCACGTGGCCTTGGGTAAGTCCTTAAAACGTTTACTTCAAGACATTGCATCGCTGCATGACGTTTAAGGATGGTTGCATAATCAGTGCTCGTGTATCGTACGTACGATCACATGTACTTTTTCCTTCAGGGAGGGCCGGGGTGCAATAAAAAGCCGCCTTTCTCTTTTTCGATTAAACAGATAAGCTAGAGTTTTGGTAATGATAGAAAATATACTCTCACAGAATCCAACAAAACTTAAACTGAATGTTCAAGATTCCAAATAAATGACATCTGCCAAACGATTTTGGGTAGACAAAATGTACAGGGGCTTGATAATGAGCAAAACAAGATAAGGAAATCAAGGTAGGTATAGGTAGGCCCGAAACCTTGTGCTTTACACATGTCACTACCGGTATGTGCAATGGAGGGTTGTGGTTTTTATTGAAGATGATTTCCAGCAAGTTTTTTGAGGTTATTTTTATGTTACTGGTTCAAACAATCAAGCTATACTGCAGAATTAACAATCCAGAATGAATTATAGCAATGTTCTCTCGACATATATGCCCATACCAGAGCGCTTAGAAACATTGTAATAATTAAGCGCTCTAGAAATATAATGTATTATTATTGTTATTATATAGCTCCGTTTAGTCTCATTTGACAACGCCCTCTATCGGCAGAGTCCAGCAGCCTAGCATGTAAGTTAGCCTATGGACTTTTACAAAAACAAATCGTTACAAATTCATTTTTTTGTTTAAACGAAAAGCACATCCACCCTGACGTACGTTATCACTAGCTCTTCCTTTGGAACCCTCATGTCCCATTGACTTTTGAAAGTTCACCCACCGTAATTTGATCAATTTACCACGCGATTGTAAGGTTATAAGTCAAGCACATAAAGGATAAGAAGCATGAACTATCATAGATCGGTTCTGATTTGTTCATTATGTCCATTTCATCCAATCCCTCACCGTAATTTTTCCATTTAATATAGGCAAGCATTTGGCCGAGGTAAGCAAAAACATGAATATTCATGAACACCGTGAACTATTCGATTATTAACAGAGGGGTGGAATTGTGCACCTTATCAAATTCTCCTAATTTCAGTCATGTATTTGATTGTATTATGTAGTTTGGTATGTTTATTTTACTAACTGTTTAATTATCAGATATCAATGATAGTGTAAAGATATGGAAAAGATTCTTGTACTTTATATTTAGCAAAGCAATCTCACATACAAAATCACTATCAAGTGTCGTCTGATCCGACGATTTCCGTCTGCTATATACTCGAACTAGCTACGTTTGTGCTGGCGAAAATGAGACAACCGGAGCAATATGTTAGCTTTAATGACTTACTGGCTGACTATGCAACATCAATGAAGTCTAGTGTTAGAATTAGCTGGAGACTAGCACGCGTGCCTGTCTTCTCATGCCAGTCGTTTGTTATATTCATTCAGCCGCGAGGTCTGCTCGAAAAGCCATGAATGTGTTTAGATATACAGAAATAGAAAAAAAGTGTCTTAAATATCTTATAACCATGTAGTTATTTCCCGTCTCGGGAGCAGCGGGGTTATGAATGTTCCACGGTGCCCATTGGAAAATGTAGAATGTTTTTTTACTGGATAAACGAAGTGATATTAAAGATAAACTCCAGTTCTGGAGAAAAAAAAAGAAAATTAATTCTCACAGAATCTAACGAAACTTACACTGAATGTTCAAGGTTACAAATAAATGACATGTGCCAAACAATTTTGAAAGAAAATGTATACTGGCTGAGTAATGAGCATAGAAAGACAAGGAAATCAAGGTAGTACTAGCCCCGACACCATGTGTGTTGTCCCATATATAGCTTTCTGTGTACAGTGCTTGTTACTTTACCAAGACTCGGTCAAATTTATTATGATTTTGATGACTCCAGAACCTTGCAATGCACACCAATACTTACATGCTACTGATCAACTGTTTCTGATCCTTTCCACACCTTTTCTTTCACAATGCAATGGCATTACCAGTACTAAAGTTTATCTTTAAACTTAAGTTGTTTTTTACCAAATTATATGTAGGCCTATTTTAATTAAATTATTCGCATTTTTTTGTATTATGACATTTTCTACAAATAGTTACCATATTGGTAAAGATGGTTTTGACGGAAAGCTGTAAGGTATTCAAGCTCTCTCTTCATGCAGCGCTGCTTTTTTATTGATGCACGCATTTATACTTCTCTCTCTCTCTCTCTTTCTCTCTATATCTCTCTCTTTCTCTATATATATATATATATATCTATCTATCTCTCTCTCTCTCTCTCTATATATATATATATATCTTTCTCTCTCTCTCTTTTTTTCTCGCTCTCTCTATCTCTCATTTCTCTCTCTCTCTCTCTCTCTATCTCTCGCTCTCTCTCTCTCTCTCTCTTCTCTCACGTCAGTGAATGGGCTTAACTTATCTGGCAGATGACATCCTACTCGATCTGATCACTGAGACGGATGACGAAATACCAGCTCAAGTGACAACTACATAAAACACCATTGTATACGTATCAGATAATTGCTAAACGATTGAATGAATTCATGACCCATTTTTGCTATTACAAAGACAATTGTTATGCAATGGAGTTATTCATTCAATGAATCACGTAGATCTTCATGAAATATTACAAGGATGTGTATTCTTGACCTCAGTTTTGGGGGCTCTTTTTTCTTTCATTGAAGAAGGTGTGATCTTGAATTCTCTTAAAAGGTGTTCAGGGATTTCCATGATGAAAATATCAAGACCTTCGAAAGGGTCAAAATGTTGTAAAATAATATATATATAATTTAAAATGTTCCCATAAGTAAGACGGCAAAATATTTATTGTCAGCAAAATCTCATTCTTTTTTAAATTGTATTTTGCCACTGGCAGTGTTTTATTTACCACGCTTGTTTTGTACAAAATTAGGGCTTCGACTTTCTTTTCTGGGCCAAGTAACCCTGAAGTTTTAAGTACCATATTTCCCTAATACACAGTATTGGACATGGTAACGCGTTTGCTTACTCGCAGGCCTATATTTGTTATGTGCATGGTAATGTAAGACAAAAAGACAAATCGATTTCCATAAGATCGAGTCCATCATCCTTGAAAGTACATGCTGAATGAAGAGTATTCTCCTTGATATTAATGAACGTGGATACTCAGAAACAATTTTATCATTCAGATTTGCAGATGGACGATAATTTCAGCAACAGTTCTAATGTGATTTCAAAAAAGAGTGTTTACGGTAAACTTTTCTTAGATGTATCCACAAATAGAAAATAAAGGAAATGTTTACTGGACATGTATCCTTTCATGGCCCTTGTAAAAAGGACAAAATAATGAAGTCCGCATTTCTTTCACAAATATAACACTGAATACGTGTTTTACCCAAAATATTTTGTGCATGAACTGTTGAATTTGTAACGTAAAAGGTTTGATTGTATTTGTTAACTTAACAGTTTAATTTGGAAAGGGAAACTGTTTTGTGTGATATATATGTATGAGTTGCTAATTTTGCCTGTAGATAATTTGTAAATAACGTAGCCAAATGATTGGTGCCCATCCAAAGGAGTGTCCTTGCAACGCAAGTTATTAACTACCGACTAAGTATACATGTATAGGAATGTCAAATATCCTATGAGATATTTTGTTTCTACAAGTTCAACTAGTGATTTTATACTATTTATACTAAATAAAATTGTTAAGTTAATTCACGTAGCATAAAGAAAGCTTAATATTAGGAATGTTTTTCTGCACTTTCTGTAATCATGGTAAATTTCTGCATTATGCGAACAGCCAAACTTATCACCAGTAATAGTAATAGTATACATATAGTCGTCAATAGTAGTTGTAGTAATAGTAACACATAATTATGTATAGTTGTTTGGTGTAGTTATTGTCTCGTTTATGATGTTGTTGTTGTGGCAGTACATTTGTATTAGTATAAGTAGTTGAATTGGTTAATTTCAGACATGATCTATCAATAGCGATTATTCCGTTCAGTGTGAGTGATATATTGTTAAAACGCCAAATTTTGTTTACTGAATCCATGGACCTACTACGACTTGGACCTACTACGACATGGGTCCATGCTGAAACTGATTATTTTGTATACAGTTGATTAGATTAATAAGAATGACGTTTGTCGTTAATTTACATGTAGGTCTAATTTTTTTGACACATGACTAAGTATATATAGTGAAATCCATTATGTTGAATTTAAGTTAAATTCATGTATTGTAATATGAATTCATGAGAATGCATGACAATGTTTTGACGCGGTTATACGTTATAATGTAGGCCATATTAATTTAATGTAAATAATTTAATATGCCTTTATTCTATCTACTGATGCTTTTTGTATATTTTGTTTGTTCCTAATTATCTGTAGTTTGATGTATTTGAATATACATGGTTATATAATCGTTATTTGTTTTAAATCTCATATGGAATAAACCGGCAGTTAAATTATTGTTATTAGTAATACAGAACTAAGGCATTAATATTTATTCTCGCAATGAATCTATGTACAGTACCATGAACCCATACTGATCTGATAATTCAATTTTTTTTGAAATATTTTCAAGTAGCTTTTTCACGTTATTGAGGTCATTTAGTTTTATTCTATAAAGGTTTCATTAATTTTAAATCAAGTCTTTGATTCAGATGCTTAGGCGTTATTACCCACACCGCACCCTGCGTGTTTGTATTGCTAGTAGTCTGTTCCTGTGTATTGCCTGTTTTTTAATCACTGCATTAATTTGTTATGAGATGCAGTGGACCACATTGGCCCACCATAGTTCTCAGTGAAATTCTAGTGCTTTTTGAGCACATTTTGTAAAATGTTTGGTACGTGAAGCCATTCTTCACATTTGTGGCAACTTATATAAACATTTAAAAATTGCTTAGGTGTTCTTTTTCATTATTTTCTGTTTAAGTAACCAAGTATAGAATTCATATGGACTCAGAGGAATGTCTGTATGCCCCTCTCTCATCCATCACGTGAATTTTATCAAGCATGTTTCCGATAAGCACGTTGCTCCTTGGGCCTATAGGACACCATAATCTATTCATCTAAATAAGTTGCATATGCTTTTATACTTTAAAGGTAAAGACCAGTATTGGAAATGCCCCAATTTCAAAAAATGAAATGGAAGCTCTTATAACCAATCATGTGAAAGAATATGTTTTGACTAATACATGATGATAACATTTTTGCCGGGAAACCGCCTACTAATTGATATATTTGGTAAATTAGTTTATCTATTGGTGTGTGAGAGATAAACGTACGTGTCGCACACGTGTGCGTAGTCCCATATACATCTTTCTGTGTACAGTGCTTATAACTTTACGAAGACTGGGCCAAATTTCTTATCATTTTGATGATTCCAGAACCTTGCAGTACACACCAATACTTATATGCTAGATGATCAACCTTTTCTGATCGATTCCACAACGTTTCTTTCACAATGCAATCGCATGACCATAACTGGTCTTTATCTTTAACCAATATTTAATCACAAGCTATAAGTATAGGCTGATGTTTGTTATAGTAACACTATATGATGGTATATATAGGCCTTCATCTATTAATGATTTCAATTTAAGATGAACTAATTGTTAACGTTGTAAATAACTTTCTGTATCAATGATGTATCTCTGTCAAAGAATATTTTTGAGAATGGAGACATGTTAATCCAATAAAATCGTATTCATGATATTACAAATGAAGAAAAATTGTATTTTATATTCGATGTTTCAGAAGGCAATGGGGTATAAGTTCTTCTTTGACAAGAATGAATCGAAACTAGATGCACTGTGATGTAGCTATATCGGGCACGGTCGAGGGGGAGGGGGCTTCCTCGAAAAGAGAGAAAAAAGAAGAAAGACTCAGAGAGAGTGAGAGAGAGAGAGAGAAGCGAGATGGAATGTGAAGTGGCAAGCCGATAAAAGACCCCCCCCCCCAACAATGAGCTCTTCCATTTCCCCACCTTACCTGAAGAAAACAAATAATTTGCATTATCATTGTTATCATCATAATTATCATTATTATTCTTAATATCATCATCTCCATCATCACCATAATTTGTCTGTAATCTACTTTTTCTTCATTGATATATATGCAGTACAAGTGTACAATATAAACAAAACGAAATAATTAACTGAATTTAATCAACTTTAATGTAATATAATTACTATAAAATGGTATAATACAGATATTGACCACGATCTCCAACATAAACAAATCCTCTGTGTGGCCATGCCTTGAACCATAATGCGTGATCCATTATGACAGAAGAATTTTTCCTGTTGGGGGCCGGGGGGAAATGCAATGAATTATTGATAATTGATTACATTTTCTTTGTTTTTGTTTATTTGTGGGGGCTTGCCCCCTACGCTAACCCCCGTCGCGTACAGTCATGATTCAGTGGCAAAGCAATGGCCTCGTAACTGTGAGGCCCCAGGATCAAAACCGTGCCGATGTGCTATATTAGTGCCCTTTTGTGAAGCATTAATCCTCGTTACTGTCAGTTATGACTTAAGGCCGTAGGTCCCTAGTTGATAACCATAATAGCACACACATGCTTTAGCAGTCACGTAAAAGAAACACTGTATTATTTAATAAAATCTGAGAATGTATAATTTAAAATAATAAATTATCATTTTGATCTATTAGGAATGAATCATTGTTAAAACCGTTCAATAAACTGGGGTAAAAAAAAAGTTATTCCACCTTTAATGACCAACAATGTACTTTAACTCAATTACACGCGCATTAAAAAAAAAGTAATTTTGTTTTATTTCTCCAAATGTGTAATACAAACAAAAACATACGATTGAATAATAAACGTTTTCAATATTGATTGCTTATACGTAAACATAATTAAACAAAAACTCATTTGCAGTATATATAACTTAGCAACAAAGTTAACTTACATGTATAAGTAAACAAACATATTATGTATGTCAACTGTAAATGGTATTCACTTATTTAAAAAAATTAAACAAATCTGGTAGTTATTTTACCGAAACAATGCCTACTCCTCCCTGCCACCATCACACAAACTTACCCACCCACCCACCCACATACACACACACATACGCACACGCACCCACCCACACACACACGCACACACACACACACACACACACACACATAGAAAGAGTCACCAATTGAATGAAGGATTGCTTTGCGCAACAAAATGGCTTTGCAAAATGACCCATTTCCAGTCTTGATTAGCTCCATGATAATGTTGCTCAGTGAAGCGTGTATAGAGTTATGTAAACAATATATCATTTAAAAGCATATAACTTCTAATATACAGCTCATAGCTTGTTCACAATCACAATTTTTTGTCAGGTTTCCATTTTTGGGGTACACACTCACTGTAGAATGTAGAAGCAACAGTTTCATGTAATTTTCTATTAATCAAACACAATTGAGGAAATTATGATTATACGGCTCATAGTTTGTTCACAATTAACGTTTGAAA